AGCTCCTCCATGGCCGTCCCCGCGGCCACAAGGCCCCCTAACTCCCTTTAAAATGACAACCACAAACCCAGCGCCCCACGTCCCGAAAGTCATCCCCCTGCGTAGATCCCCTCCCCTGGTCCTCCCTGCTCTAAGGAAGACAGGATCCTAACTTCTTCTCCTTCGTGTGTGAATAGTGGCTTTTTTCTTGTTACAAGAGAAAGAATTCTAATTTGCTGCCCTGGAAGCAGCCACATTGATCTGAATCTGCAGAGCAGTGTGGAGATTACGGAGCGAGATCCGCTGACCTCACACCCCGTCTGCACTGCAGCGACGGTCAGTTACGGTCAGTTAGGCACGCGTGAAGGACACTGGGCTGGCCGTGGGCAAGCCGAGGTCTGTTAACGGGGAGCACTCGTCCCGGCCCCTGCCGTCTGGGCAAGACTGCCTCTGCCTGTCCCCCTGTCCGTCCGTCCGTCCCCGCCCCCTGCTGTCCAGGTGAGACTGCCTCCGCCCGTCCCCCTGTCTGTCCGTCCCCATCCCACCCCATCCCACCCGAGAGGTGCCTGAGGTGGGGACCGCGTTTCCCTGCTCCTTTGCTGCGGCGGGTGTGGGCCATGTCGGAGGCACTGCCATTGGGAAGTGGCGTCACAATGTTCTCGTGAGACCCGCCTGTGCGGTGGAGACGGCCACTCTGTCTGGCACGCTCCCTCCCGTGGGCCCGTGATGGTTTCCCTCCCAGTGACCCAGTGCGCGGAGTAGGGGGCCCTTCCTGGTCGTCGTTGGGGGTCCCTGTCGGACCTGGAAATGCGGCCATCGCGGTCCTCTGAGAAGAGCCCCACGTAGAGAAAACGGAACGATGTCTGCATGCGCTTCCCTCTCCTTCAATCCCCTGCCACCCATCTGTCCATCTGTGTGTCCGTCCATTTAGCCAGTGACAGAGGGGCCAGGCCGGCAGCAGCTCCCGGGTCTGCGAGGGGGAGATGGAGGGAAGGCTTCATCCAGCGCCGGGTGGGAACGCGTGTGTGAATCCGGGACAGGGCGGCCTGGGCCAGGCAGTTTGACACCCGAGGAGGAGGTTTAGCCCTCAGCCTCCGCATCTGCACGATGGGCTGGTGAGAAGCCCAAGACAGGCCGTTAGGAGGTTTAAATGAAGCTGAGTCAATTCAGGGGATGCCAGGAACTGTTCCGTCTTCCTTGTACCGTCATGATGCGTCCGTCTGCGTTGGCTCCGGTGACGCTGCCCGTGGGTGTGCGTGTGGGACACGTGGTCCTACATCCGCGTCTCACAGCTCCGACCTGTCCCAGGAGACTGTGAAAGCAGATGGGCAGGGTCTGCTGGGGCGGCCTCCACCCTCCGCACGTCCCCAGGAGGGAGCCAGGCCGCACCCTTTCCCTCTCGGAAGGGGGTGGGGAGATGGGGGCGTGGGCTCTAACTGTTGTCTCTTATGGAAGATGATTTCCCGCGACAGCAGGAGCGGGAAGGAGGAGACTCCGTGAGGAGGGGTGGGACCTGCAGAACTCCCATGGTCGCCAGAGCCTAATGGTCCTATGACGTGTGGGTTCCATGACCAGCTTCCTGGGCCTTTCTCTTTCCTTTCTTTTTATGTGGGGGGTGGGCGGGAAGAGGGGGGACTGTCACCTGACAGCCAGGGCTGCTCTGGGAGGGGGTGTGAGGAACCCAGGGACCTGCTGATGGGGTCTCAGCGGGAGATCCTGACAGTGGCCTAGGTCTGAGGAGTGAGCAGGAGGAGTGGCCGGGACCAACCCGGGTGTGGGCAGCCAGGGGCAGCGGTGACGGGCGCCCACCCAGCCCCTCACAGCAGGGGTGTGTGTGTGTGTGTGTGTGTGTGAGTGAGACTGTGTGTATATGTGGATGCATGTGACTGTTGAAATGGGTGAATGTGTGAATGTGTGTGTGTGAGTGTGTGTGATAAGTGTGTGCATGTGAGTGTTGATGTGTATGAGTGAGTGAGTGGGTGTGTATGAAAGTGTGTGTGTGTGTGTGAGACTGTGTATATGTGGATGCACGTGACTGTTGGAATGGGTGAATGTGTGAACGTGTGAATGTGTGTGTGTGTGATGAGTGTGTGCATGTGAGTGTCGATGTGCATGAATGATTGAGTGGGTGTGTATGAAAGTGTGTGTGTGTGTGTGTGTGTGCGCGCGCGCGTGTGCGTGCGTGCCCTGGGAAGGGAGTTCTTCGTTGTAACCTCAAGGCCTTAAATTAGACCTTTGGTCTCCTCTTGGGATGAAGTTCAAGTCCCGGTGAGACACGGGCGGCCTCGAACACGCTGCTCCCCACTTCTGACCCGTGTCCCGTAGAGGACACATCGCCCCGAGATCAGCACTTGAGAAGGTAAATTCTACAATGTTCAGTGACAGCAGTGATCACAGGGAGTCAGTTATTTGGGGTGAAAATGTGTATTGATGTAAACAGGTAGACCAGGCCCCCCTTCTAAGCCCTTGCACTTCTCAGCTGCCTCCTTCGCGGGGCTGCGTGCGTTGGGGGTGCGGGCGCCGTGC